CCAGAAAACTTAATGTAAATGCACTTTAGTCTAGCCAGATGGATAATCTCCCCACTGTACTTGCATTCTCCTCTTCCAGGGTTGTTAATCAATAACTCCTTCCTGGCCAGCAGAGTCCCTGTGATGGAGGGGACATGACCTTGGAGAACACTGCCATCAGGGCTGCCACAAAGGATCAGACCTGAAATGCAGCAAGACCACCTCTGTTATCCTTCCAAGTGGCCAGCACAAGATGCTTCTTTCAAGTAAAAACCTGTGAGATCTGGAGTAGTCTGATCTGTCCAGCAAACCTCACTCCAACCTTTACTATTTAAGAGCTACCTGAAGAACAAGTAGCTCCTTTCTGAAAGTCATCAGCTATAATTTAACTTCCCCAGTTATTCTTGCTACAGATACAAGATATCTGGTTTCAGCACTGTTGTACAGCTAGTCCCCGCTTCAGAGAAGGTATTTATTCTCTGTTATGAGTTAGATGCTTCCATATTCTTGCATAGAAGAGAACTAAAAGTCTTTGCTCACAACTCCTGTGCTGGAAAGCAACACAGAGAAAGCAGGAGAACTAGTGCACATGAAGAACAAAAATCTCACAGCCTGGAGGAAATATTAGCAGACCCTTCTTCAAATCCACAAAGCACCAAGTATCTCTGTGGTACTGTATGTGTAATGATAATAAGTGGCTCCTGAATTTGTCTGCAAAAATACAGTAAGCACAGGTTTAAAATCACTTTCTTTTTCATACATGATTAACAAAAAAACCCACAAACAAGCAAGCAAACAAACAAAAAAGCCCAAACAAACCAAGCAGCCTTTCAGAAGTTCATCCACAGCAAAAACTATTTTTTTTTTCTCTCACTAAAGAAAAATTTATGTTCAAATTGGAGAAAAGGCTGTTTTACCAAGGCAAGATTTGTTTCTTCTGGATGGTGTTAAATGATACAGAGAAGACTCTAAGAATAGAGAGCAGTAGTCATAACCCTCTTTTCTTTTCCTCCAAATCTCTTCCTCCCAAATCAGCAGCTCTTATAGGAAAAAATTACACTCCTGTTGCAGGAACCAAACCTGTTTCATGCAAAGACAGATGATCTGAATGTATTTTTACATGCCTTATCTAGTTTAACTTCTTCAAATTTAGTGAAATACACTCACTCCCCATCTGTATCATTCCAACCTCTGCAAGGCTCATTAAGCTCACAGGTGTTCTGAAGTCATCTTCATCAGACAGTGAAATCTACAGAATAGGAATCACTACATCCATTCCTATTGCAAGTGCCCATCCCAAGTGTTTGTTGTATGAGAGAAAGGAGTCAGACCTGCACAGGCAGAATGCCCCATGAGATGGTGGGATGAGAGAATTGCTCTTGTCCAGCTTTATTGCTTTTGGACAAAGGTCAGACAGAACTTTGTTTTAATTCATGTCTTCTCTGTTTTACTTTTGGCCTATGAAACACTGGAATCCATAGCAGAAGAAAAATACCTAATTTATACTTTGGAAAAGGCCTTACTTCAAACTGGCTTCAATGGGAATTCTTGAGGAGTGATATTTCCTAGCTCTAAGCTACTTCTGCAGGAAAAAAATTAAGCTGGTGATTTAAAAAGAGACTTCTCACATAAGGGACAGATCAGGCATTATTGATATAAGCTTTGGTGTTATTTCTCCTGGAGACTTGTTCTAGTATTTACTATCCAAAATAACACTTGGGATTCAGCGCAGCCTGAGCATGTGGAAATGTTCATTGGCATGCAGAGCTCAAAGCTCAAACACATTGTACCAGCAAGGGCAGCTGCTGATACAAACTGGGGCTGTAACTCCCAGCTGAAACATCAACAACTCACTGCTCAACAGGCCTGAAGACCCTCCTTCCTTTCTGCCCTTGCCCTGGCCTCCCTTCCCTTGTTTCCCTTATTTTTTCCTTCTTGAAGAAACATTCAGGAGGGTCAACATGAAGGGAACTGCTGCTTCAATAGGTGCCAGCCCGAGCAATAATTTTGAACAAACTCAAGGTAGAAAGGTAAAAGAGATGAAGCAATGGGCAAACTGCCAAAGATATCCAAATGGCTGGAGGTCTAGACAAGCTCAGTGTGGAAATACAAAGGCACATAAGCATTTCAGTTCCATGGATGACTTCCACAGCTCTGTGAAAATCTGTAGGGACATCTGAGTTTCCTTGATCCAACCATCCTCCAGACCCACCTGTATCTTGGCTGACATGATTTTGAAAGCTGACTTTTACTTTAATCAAAGGTGAATATCTTACCTGGAAGACTGGAGTTGAAACTCTTAGCTCCACCTTTCTGCCAGCTGTAACTCACCTCACCCTCCACCAGCCTTCAGCACACAGCAGGAGAGCAAGACTTTTGCCACACTGGATTTCAGCCACTGCTATCCACCGCTTCCCCAGTTGACTCCTCCCTAAGCTATAAAGAAGCAAACAAGAAACACAACCTCTCTCTCCCTAGAGCTGAAAACAGGGCCAAAACCTGTGTGTTTATGTGTGCATGTATTCCAGCCTGGCAGATCTCAGACTCAGAGGTAAATTCTCAATTTAGGAGATACGTGAAGATGCAAAGATCTTCCCAGACATTTACCCAGCTATGGAACAAGAGGAGTAATAAGAAAACATAACTGTAACTGGAGAAGTCCTTTGCCCTGCAACAGCTTTCATGCAATTATTTCCCCAGCTGAATCCTCACCACATCATTTCTAAAACTTGAGATTGTTTCAGCAAAGGAGCAGGAAGGCTGTTTCAGTGAGATACTCCACATTCACATGCCCTTATGTTGAAACACCTCCCAGCATCTGGGGGAAGCAACTTTCAATAAAAAAAAGAAAAGAAAAAAAAAAAGAAAAAAGATTCCTATAAAGCAAACAACACCCACCTGACCTGGAATAGTGCCTACAGCTAAGCTCATGTTAAACAACTTCTAGAGAAAAAGATGGTACTTTGCTTTCTGGGAAAAAAAAAAAAAAAATAGCATTTTGAAAGGCTCATTAAACCTGCAGGTGTTCTGGGGATGTCTTGGCTCCAGCACTGCAGTGAATCTCCCACACTGACTTTTCCCTTGTTGCTCAAGAGCTGGATTCAAGCTTAAATTAGGGAAGTGAGATCATGCTGTATGTGGAGACCCTGGGAGAAGAGGCAGATGCTATGAGGACTGCCACAGGGATGCTCTCATAGTGATGCCCATTGGGACTCTGGCAGAGGAGACAAAGGCACCCAAAAAAATCCTGTGATTTGTCAAAGGAGCAGAGAGGTTATCTCAGCACAGCAGCCAATGCCATCCAGCAGTGGGGGGCTGTAGGCCAGAGCTGAAGGGAGGCATCTTATAGCAAGGATTTGGGCTGGGACTGAAGTGATATCTTCCCTCCAAGCTAAGGGACAAGAGCAAAGACCAACATTTTCACAGTGGCTAATCCATCATTGTCAGGTTGGTTTTACTCAAGACCTGCTCAGAGAGGTTTCACTGTTGCCTAAAAGACTTTTAATTTCTTTAAGTGCAGCCATTTAAAACATCTTCCCTTGAACTGGTATTTCTGGGTTCTGGTGGTTTTTCACTCCATCAACAGGAACCCTTTAATCCTCAACTCCTTCATGACAGGATATTTACCTACATGATAGTTCAGAAAGATTCTCAAGGCAGTCTGAAAAGGGTTCAGCTGCCTAAACAAGGGTTTCTAGCACCATTTTAGGTGCCAGACTCCCAGCTGCTGTAACAGAAGGCTGTGCATCTCCGTGTCCTGGCTCATCTGTGCCAGCACATATGGACATGTCTCATCACTGGGGAAGCTGAAGGGGCCCAAGACCCTGATAACCAAGGGTCTAGCCTGCTCCTTCCATGTCCTTCACAGCCCAGGGAGGCAGTATTCATAATCCAGCACTACTTCCTGAAGCATTTCTTTTGTGTGTAAAATACCCCATGTGCACTAAACGTGAAGTTTGGAAATGTCTTCTGGCAGCCCCAAACCTGTCACCCAAGTAACCTGGCATAAAATATGGTCAAAATGAATATTGATATGGAAGAGAGAGAGATCATAATTTGTGACCTAAGTATTTGGGGGGAAAAGATATTTGAAATACATAAACATTTGAATCCTAAAGTACAAGAGAAGGAAAATACAATGGAAAGGGGAAGGATGAGGCAGCAAGCTTTGGTGCATATTTCCCTGCATTGCTATTAAAGTCTCTGATGCGGAGGCAGGCGTCTCCAGCAAACAAGCTGTCAAGCAGGCTTCAGTCACTCAGCTCTGAGAAAAGAGAAGAGGATTCTAGATAGAGCTAGCTGCAAAAGCTGTCTCTGAGCATATACATCCCTTTCTGTGCTATCCATCAATCAGACTGGAATTTTCTGATGTGATCAATCATAGGCTTGATTTCAGGTACCTCTCTGAGATGCTTCAAAACTCAATTCCACCACAGACCCTTAAAATAAAGCTTCACAAAAACTAAATAGGATCTTGAGGTCTCAAGCCAGATATCAAAAGGACAGGCATGTGGAATCACCAAACCATTTTTACAGCATCACCTGGTATCTTCCTCTAAACTCTGACATATGCACTTAGTGCTTCAAGCAAGTGAAAAATGCAAACCAAACCACAGAATATTGTCTAGGAAGCATATTGTAGGATACCAGTGAGTCAGATGTGCTGTCACTGCTTTAGTGTCATTTCTGCATTTGTGGCTGATGAGTCTGGTAGATTCATCTGCATAAATCCCCATACTATTTCATCTCATCCGTAAACAGTTTAGAAGCAATTGGGAGCACAGTTAAAAGGAAGCTGTCCCTCACAACACCCATTATTGTCTTTCAAGCATTAACAAGAAAATTGAAATTTATGTCAAGTATTCATATAAAAGAAGTAGACTCCTTACAGCCTTAACAAACAAAACAAGAAAAACAGAGGAACGTTTATCTTAAATTGTTAGGACTACTGCAAAGCATTAAGTTTATGCTACTACCATTTCTGAACTCTTAATTTCCCTTTCACCCAGCCCTTTATTTACCTTGAATCCCCAAAGGACTAATATTGCCTCTCAATGCTGGCACATGATGGTACCGGTGTGGCCTTGAACTCCTGTACATCCAGTGGTACCTGCCAATTTCCATTTCTGGTCTGGTGATCACTGCCAATTTTAGGTGGTAAAAAGTCAGTGTCACCAGTAAGTTTTAGTTCAGTACTTTCAGTCATTTTATTTTAAAAACAAGAGCCCAAAAAACACACTGTAGTTTCAGAAGTGAAATAACATAACCTTACAGACTAAAGGAAGAGATTAGGAGGGATGATCAACAGGGAAATGCTCACACAGGTGTTAAGAAAGGTTGAATAGCTGAAACTCCATCTAGGATTTGAGTTAAAACACATAAAGAAGGGCTCTCTATTCTTACCCCCACCCACTCTCATGTGTCACTCTCTTTGTCCATGACAAAAAGCTCTGCTCCAGAAGTAAAGGAAGGTAAAGTCATGGAAAATCATGTTACCTGTTTTTTAAAAAGTCTCTAATGCTGTCAAAGAAAAAAGTTATTGCTTTATGTCAAGGTAGGGCAAACACAAAGGTTTGCTCTGATATTTTCTTACATTAAAAAATAAGTTTGTGGGCTTTATTTCACCTAAGCTCTGCTCGCATCCAAAAATCTGGACCAAGTGTGTTAAAAACAATTTGTTCCAGGTTCATGGCCAAGAAGAGCAGTTCTGCTTCTCCTTGTCTTTTCAGAGGAAGCCCAGCAACAAGACCTCACATGCAGTAACTCACCTCACCCGCTCACACACTCATTGCACACTCATTGCCATGGGGTTTCTGTGTCTCTGAAAGAGGCAGGAAACAGCAAACTGCTTTTGAGCCTACATGTCCCCCCATTGGTACCACTATGGCCTTGTCAAAGCTGTCAGGGTGAGACTGACAGACCTTTATTCAAAATGCACCAGAGTCCCCCTCTGCAGTGGGGAATTTCTAAATGAGAAACCATCATTTCTGGCTGAAACAAATCCAATTCAGCAGCATTTGGGCACGTGGAGAAAGTGAAGGTTGTGAGAATGAAAACCCCGTCTACTGTAGACTAGATTAGAGACAAATTTCAGGGGGCTGGAGAAGTAGAAATGCCATAAATTTATAGTCTATGAGGGGCTCAGAAGTTCCTGCACCTAGTACCTTTCATGTGGTTTTGCAGCTTGTGCAATGAGGAGTTTGGCACAGCCACATTAGCATATGTCAAGAAGAGAAAAAACTCTTGGCCTTGAATCCAAATGCTGGATCTAGAGATTTAAACCAAGAATTTGTTTGTCTTCTTTATCAGCAAACGAACTCCAATACTAAGAGTCTTTTGGGTTTTGTACATAAATTTAGCATCAATGGCTCTCTAAAGCATACTTTGTGGCTTGGCAATTTTCCCCTCTGCATCTCACACACAAACCAGCAAGCAGGTATCAGTAAATCTTCCACAGAAGACATTATTCTGTATTGTATGGCTCAGTCTTCCTCTTAGGAAAGACAAGTTACACATCTTATGAGCATAACAAAATACAAAATGTGTTGAAAGTACTGTTCTAAAATGACTGCACACTCTCAGGATGATATCATCTCCTTCTTCTCAGAGAGGAACAATCCTGCTTGGAAGATCACAAGGAATGCCATAATAAATGAATCGGATACAAAATGGAAAACAATATTCTTCACTAGTACTGCATACCTCCTCTTCTTTGCCTCCCCAAAGTCTGCTCCCTGCCTTTTTGAGGATACTTACTGGACACTTGTAACAGATTCAGATTTTTACTTTTATTAATGAAAATTAAAAATAGCCAGCTGCAAAGACTTCCAGAAAGAAGAGAATTATTCCTTTGCACTGCAGCAGCATCTAAACCAAACCTTCGACATCAAGAAGATTTTATCCTACTAGCTTGAACCCAGAGTTTGAGATTTCTCCTGCAATGGCAACAAAAATCACTTGTTCAGAGCAGCAGAGCAGGCAGCTCCTTCTCTCTCTTAGCCTGGAGGAATGCTGGTGAAATCACCTGTCTGCTGCAGTAGAAACATCAAACCCTGAAACACGGAGACATGTAAACTTTGTAGCATCATAAGCAAAAAGATTCTATGGAGTTGGTTTCTTTAATTAGCAATTTCTGGTTTTGCAGTAACAGGGCTCCTTTCATTAGGAGGCAGTTCAAACTCCATAAGGAATTTCAGTTTTTCCACTGCTCTGCAAAGAGCCACTTAGCAATGGCTCCTTGGTAGCCCTTAGTGCATGCCCGGCACGACTTCTGAAGCTGAAGAGTATCTCTGGGTGACTTTGCTGGGACCCACTCATGTAAAATCAACACCAGGTCAAAAACTCTCCAGGCTCCAGTGGCATAACAACTACTGCACACAGTCCATATGCATTGGAATTTAACTGTACCCTGAATAGCTGGGAAAGGAAACAGGCTTCAGGGCTTCTTTACCTTTTGCTTTTTGAGTAACTACCTGCAGCAACTGCATTCCCTGGTCTAGGTTACAATACCCTCCCACCCACAGCCAAGCTCCACAGCTTGAGGCCTCCTGTCAGAACCAGGCTGTCCTCAATCCTGCAAAGACACAGCAGCTACAGAACTGTCAGTGTTTTCATGTCACGCCACACAGGCACACGGATGGCGACTGTGGTGTTCAATATTCATTGGGATGAATCATCTTGCATGCCTGTAATCAAATTCACAGTGCTCAACATCCTCATGCTTGCTGCCTTTATCATATGGTTTTGGAGGAAACATGGTGTTGATATTCATCTGTCTCAACTGATGAAGCAGTCCACGGCAGCAAAGAGAGGGTGTTTGGTCACTGATGGTCTGGTGATGAATACTGGACAAGGAGCAAGGCTGGGCAGAAAACGGGGAAGGGTCAGAGTAACTAAAGGAGACCCTCCCCCCATCTTTGCCCCCTTTGCTTCTGCTGCAAAATCCATTGTGCGCGTACAGTGCCATCTGGGTTTCCCCAACCCCCCGTTACCATATCCCATGGCACATATGTCTAGGTTTTCTGCTTTCACGAGGTTGTTCAGACCAGTATGAGTACATTCTCTGAGTATTTTTCAACCCCCTCCTACTTAGAAACCAAATCCTATTCATTAAAACCTAAATCACTAAGCCTGCCAAATTATTATCCCTAGAATATCGCGTGTCCCAGATTCTCCCAGGGCTGGACCTCTCTTCCTACAGTCGTATTCTTCAGGGACTTAGACTTACAGCAGTTATTGTTGTCAGTGGATCTGAAACATCAATCAACTGCTTTAAACTGGAAAAAATATGCAGCATACTAAAAATCTTTGAATGGCTTGACAGCTCTGATACCACTGTGTGAGCCTAACATTAGGTGGGTACCTTTGAAATTTTGGTTGATGATCATAACACATATTTTAAAAAATACTTCTTTTTTTTCCAATTTGTTGTAATGAAAAATACATCTGTGATGCATCAAAATGTCATAAACTCACTGTGTAAAAATAACCTTACTAGAAGTGAAATAAACTGCATGACAATCCATTCCTTTCTCACACCACGCTTTACAGCTTCATTTAAACACAACTGTACAACTGTGTGCAATAGTGTAAGAGAAGCAAAGTATTTTCTTTCTATTTTTTACTAGCATATACTTGACTACTTAGAGCTTAAAAGCTGAAACATGGCTTCATATACCATAAGAATAATAAAGCTCACAACAATTACTGAGCACAAGATCTTCTTTTATCAAGAGAACATAAGCAGGGAAGAGCCAATTAAAAGGGACCTTTGGTACAGCTGCTCAAACTGGTCTTCATTATTCCTCAGCACAGCATAAGCAGTTTGAACATCATATGTATTTATATAAGGAACCTAAACCCTGGTATTGTGGCTTTCTTCCATCTTGTAATTGGTGAATTCACCATGGTCACCCACAGTTGGGGTTTATTTTCTTTTTTTTCATTTTGCAGCTTGGTAGCATTTCTTACAGTTAAATGAAAAGGGAAACTTCTTGTCTCTGTTAATGTGTATCAGGATCTATATCCTTCACTGCTGATGCAAAACGGCATTTCGTTTTTCTTATTTATTCCACCTCAGTAAATCTGCCTGCCCAGTCCTCACATTTTGATTTAATTTAATGCCTGCAAGATAAACCCTGTCATTTATAATAATTTGTAAACCTTCATCTTTAAAATGCATCCAATCTGTCCTGCAGCCCTGCAAAGTATCTGTTAAACATTTTGCTTCAGCTTTCATGGTGTTCTCCTCTGATAAAGGCTGCTGATACACAGCATAAAGCTTACTTATTTCTTATCTCCATCAACATGAGGGTTGTTCCAATTCCAATTAAAAAAACTGGGGCAGCAGCCACTCATCTGGGTGCAGAGAAACAAATGTCAGATAAACACTGAATCCATCAGCTGGGTAGTATCGCTGCCTGAATCAGGCAGGGGATTAATGAAAATTATTAAAAGATAGAATGGAAATTCTATACAGTTTAGCAAACTTTAAAAAATCTAAATAATTTTCAACCATTTTCATTTATTCATCTGTAAATATTCATAAAGCACATTAGCTTGTGCAAATTGTCTCAGCTATACTGCAGTCCAAAATAGCTGGCTGTCCACATTTGCCACAGAGATGGGAAACACAAACCAATACCTTTGTGGCACCACTGCTCACATACGACTGCTTTAGGTGCTCAAACTGAAAACACACCTCTCTGTTCATGCCAAGTGCTCCAGCAGTATTGCTCACCAGGGTCCTCACAAGTATTGGGAGCCCTGTACAGAGACAGTATGTAGTCCTAGCCCAACTTCCTCCAAGTATTTATTCCACAAAACTGCAGCACATCATCAAGAAGGTCGTTGCATTGAAAACACACCCCAGAAACATGCAGTTTAAAATTCTGGTAAAGGGAAAATATCCTTTAGCTTAAAAGCATGATTTGCTATTAGTCAAATGCAGATAGTTTCCCCAGAACTTGGCAGTGAAAAGCATGCTGAGTGTGAACTTGAATACCCAAAGCAGAATGCTCATGATCTTCCCTTGCTCAGTCTTAGCAGTAGCAGCATCTACCAAACCCCTTCAGATGATGGTTTATCTCCTTAGGCTTTGCAATAAATTTCTAGAAGTAAGAGTTAAGAGACCCTGTCATAGGACTTCAGCTGCTTCAATCTGTGGCAATTGCCTTGAAATCGCTGGATCTAGGGCATCTCATAAAGGATGGCCATTACCAAGTCCAGGTGGGATCCTAGAGGAAGAAGAAAATGTTGCAAGGCTGGCAAGCATGTGAGGCATAACAAGTAACAGATGTGGTCCATAGAGTAAATTAAGGGGTCTTCTTCTGTTCTATACCCCAAAATAAAGCAGCATCATTTTCCTGCAAGTTTCATTACACAGAGAAAAATCCCATTTCCCTCCACAGGAGCTGCCGGGGAAAGACTGAAAAATTCTGACATTTGAGAGGTACCTGATGCCTGCTGAGCCCATCTGAAAACCCAAATGGACTCGACAGATTTAGGACTTTGGAAAATCTGCTCCTCAAAACCAAATATGTCTCTTCCATGATCACTTCACAGCAGTAACTTTGCAGGGGGATCTGGTCTATTTGTTTTGCTATAGAAATTAGGAGCAGGACTGTTTCAGCTTTCTGCATTTTAATTTACTGTGAAGCATATTGAGAATTTAAGTGAAGAGAAATACAGAGCATAATGTGAGAGACCATGTGTTATTTTCAGGAATCCTAGAACTGGCAAGAACAAAGCCTACAAGTGTTACACACATATACTTATGTAACAGATCCAAAGTACAAAATTATCATAGAAAAAATTAAGAAATTGTGGTAACATTGGGATAGGAGGCTCCCTGCTTGCATCTGATGAAAGCAACAGATCAACCACCTTGACTTGGAAGCAGATTTACTGTTCTACATGTTGTGCTTTCATCCTTGCCAAAACAAAAGGGAAGCCATAAACTCATCATAAACACACTCAGCAACACATTTTGTTTTGCGCAGCTGCTAATGCATACGGATAACTTTCTTTAGTGTTCATTGTAACATGAATTCCACTGCTTTAAAAGACGCTTGTCAATCAGAAGAAAGAATTTCTGGAATTTTTGAAGAATGATCTATCAATTCAAGGCCGTTTCATAGTCAGTCTGTTCAGGACATTTTGTACATTAATTACTCAAAAATCTGCAGTGAGGTGGGTTATTATCCACATACACTAATGGCTTTCAGAGTTTAATCTCTCATCAGTGGACCTCCTTTTGTGAAATCCCTAAGGGATTATGTAGTACTATGTCTAATCACTTGACAAATTTCATTTACTTGAAATTGAAGCTTGTTTTATATGAAGTGTGTAGCAGGAGTCAGATTCAAAGTAGGAAAACAAAATCAGTTACTGGACACTATCGGGATTTATCATGTTTACATCTGAACTGCTTAACAATCGATGAAAGAATTCTGCTTGGGGAAATGCATTAGTTGTTTATCAGCTGCTTAAGCCTATGAAATACTCAGATGGGATACTCAGGTTGCTTATAAACGATACACAACAGGTTAAAAAAATGTACCATGACTCAAGTAAAAAGCCAGTGGAAATTTAAATAATTTTGTTGCTGCTGTATCATTCAGCAACGAATAAAAACCCAACAAACTGCTATGATCCGTAGAGTAGCCTGCTACAGTGAAGAGGACTGGCTGTCTGACACAAATTATACAACACAGAAAGAAAATATCCCTTGTGAGTTGAATTTACGCTCTGAAGTTCAGCACTCCAGACCAAACAATCAACCTGTACAGCTGGGATGGATGAAGCACCTCTCTTTCAGTGCTGCCATCTCCCTATCACAGAACCATCACCATGGAATTGTTCTCTCCATTAAACATAAATTCTCAGAGATTTCTGAAATCTAATGTTGCAAAACTCGCTCCATTGTTGCCCCTTATCATAGTGCAGGCAGATAGCTACAAAAGTACAATTTGCCAGATGACACCACGGAAAAGGAATTTAAAAAAAAAAAGAGTAGCATTTGGCATCGAGCTCACTACACGAAGGCTGTGTGACATTATAATCTATTATATGTTGTTATAACCTAGGTCTCCCACACTGCATTGCAAAGCCTTGCTACATGGCTAGTCTCGATGAAAACACTAGATTACAGTTCCGAAAACAACATGCAAACACACAGGCACACGCTACCTCTATAAACCAAATTAACCAAAATATGTCAAAGACGCAGCAATAAGAAGACTTCTTTTGCAAGCATCATTTTGGGTAGGGTTAGGACAGATTCAAAGCAAATACAGACGCAGACAGAAAGGCTGATGCTCTATTAATTGTCAAGCCATGCAGGAAAGGACGGCTGAAAGCCCGAAGATGCAGTAATGATTGTTTAAGAGCTATCTGAAAAAGTGACAAAACTGGCCTAAACCTCTTTAAGCCCCCTGAATGAAAAGATTTAAACAGGCTATTGTTAAGACCCCTGGGTACCTTTTTTCTCTTGGCTTTGTTCTGCATTTTCCTCCGCTGCAGTTTCCATGGCTGGCTTCATACCATCCACCAAAAATGCCGCCCCCCCTC